ACTGCTGGCAAGGAAGAAGTTATCCCAGAACCGACAGTAAAACCACCAAAAATGGTCCGTATGGCCAACCTTGCTGTTGTGGGTGGTCATGCTGTAAATGGGGTTGCAGAGATACACAGTGAAATAGTGAAGAAGGATGTGTTTAATGAATTCGTTAAGGTAAACATTCTAACTAGTGAAGCGTAATGCGATGTAATAATGCTACCTGGAAGAACATAACTCTCATATGTCAAATACTCTATATTTGTTGCAGTTGTGGCCGGATAAATTTCAGAATAAAACCAATGGAGTGACACCAAGGCGATGGATTCGTTTTTGCAACCCATATCTAAGTGATATTATAACTAACTGGATAGGCACAGAAGACTGGGTTTTAAATACTGAAAAGCTTGCGGAACTAAGAAAGGTATGTACTTTACCAGATTTAGTGTTGATTCACATACTGTTATCTTTATAATAAGTCACTGGTTACCTTTGTTCGGTGTTTCTCCAGTTTGCAGATAATGAAGATCTTCAATCTGAGTGGAGGGCAGCAAAGAAGAAGAACAAGTTGAAGGTTGTATCACTTATCAAGGAAAGAACCGGATATACTGTCAACCCGGATGCAATGTTCGACATACAGGTCAGTTCGAGAGGATCTTGTTTACTTTTGGATTGATGAGCTGTTTGCTTGGGTGCTTCTTTTCGTTTTGGAGAATTCTCCTCATCCACCCAATGAACGCTGAATATCAGAAACCTGATGAGCTTTCTTCAACTCACCCTATAGTAAATTCTTTCCTTCTTACACTGAAAACTGTTGCAGATCAAGCGTATCCACGAGTACAAGCGACAACTGCTTAATATCTTGGGAATTGTTTACCGCTACAAAAAGATGAAGGAAATGAGTGCCAGTGAGAGGGAGAAGGCGTTTGTTCCAAGAGTTTGCATATTTGGGGGAAAGGCATTCGCTACATATGTGCAAGCTAAAAGGATTGTGAAATTCATCACAGATGTTGGGTCTACAATTAACCATGATCCAGAAATTGGTGACCTGCTTAAGGTACATTATATAATATACTTACGTGCTTTGATTAATCGTATTCTCAAGCGTAGACCAAACAACCTGCATAATCCTCCATCAAGTCTGGTTTAAGCTTCTTGTGGAAATTGGTATATGATACCCGCTAATCAGAACTGTTACCGACATTGTAGGTTATCTTTGTTCCTGATTACAATGTCAGTGTTGCTGAATTGCTCATTCCAGCAAGTGAGCTTTCTCAGCACATCAGGTAACAACTTCTTTGGCTTAGTCCCCTTCCAGTTTTTGGTCACAACTCCATGAGGCTGAAATATTGAAATTGAGATAACTGGTAAACCAGGAACTGGACTAGTTTCTATGTTTTTCATGAGAACCTTAGTAACAAATCCTTACAAGGGGAACAATATGTTTCAGTGACATTTAGAAAAGTTATAATCAATGCTACTTAGCCATCTTCTGATGAATAAGAGTTCTCTCTGCAGTACCGCTGGAATGGAAGCGAGTGGGACAAGCAACATGAAGTTTTCGATGAACGGTTGCATTTTGATTGGAACCTTGGATGGGGCAAATGTCGAGATTAGAGAAGAAGTTGGGGAAGAAAATTTCTTCCTCTTTGGTGCCCAAGCTCATGAGATTGCGAACCTCAGGAAGGAGAGAGCAGAGGGAAAGGTATATGATTTGAAGAGTAAAAGTTGTCGTGCTTCCGTCTTCTTCTCATTGTCCTTTTAGGTATCAAAGAGAACTTGACTTTGACCTGTTTGCTCTTTGCGTTCCAGTTTGTTCCGGATCCTACTTTTGAAGAAGTCAAGAAGTTTGTTAGAAGCGGTATCTTTGGCTCAAACAGCTATGATGAACTAATTGGCTCTTTGGAAGGAAATGAAGGCTTTGGACGAGCGGATTACTTCCTTGTTGGCAAAGACTTTCCTAGTTACATCGAATGCCAAGAAATGGTCGATGAGGCATACCGAGACCAGAAAGTAAGTAGTGATCCATTTTCTTTGATCATCACTCTTATGTTGACTCAATATGAAACTTCCTCAAGATCCAACCTTGAAATTGCTATTTAATGATTACAGAAATGGACGAGAATGTCAATCTTGAACACAGCAGGTTCATTCAAGTTTAGCAGTGACCGTACGATCCACGAATATGCCAAAGACATATGGAATATTACGCAAGTTAAACTTCCATGAGCCTTGAAAGACGACCTTAGCAACTCTTTTGTATGTCTCTTCTACTTCTACAATTTCCCATGTATCCAGGTAATAAGGGATTCATGTAATGATGCAATACAATGAATGTAATAAGAAATAAGACTTAAGAGTCTATGCATTTACAGAGGCTTTCTCTGCCTTTGCGGCATGCTTCTGACCGGCTAAATGACCGATGTAAACCTTGCCGCTATTACAAACAACGTTGCATATTCTACACAACGTAATCGACTCATTTGACACCCCACCTTCCACAACTCTCCATCTCTTTGATTCTAGATCTTCTGTTGATTCTGCACCTTTCTTCCCGTTCTTTCTACCCTTGCTTTTACATGGCTTTTCTTGTGGTCCTGTCAATGGGACTGCAACGGGTGGTCCAGGCAAAGAAGAACCCGTGTTAGATGGGAAACATGTTTTTAACTTGTCCAAGTTCTTGAGGTGTTTCTTCCCCAAATTATGTTGCTCGAACACACTTGGACCGTTACAGTCAACCTTACAAACTTGACAGTAAGCAGATTGAACAGCCTTTCCCTTCTTTGATTGTTTCTTCGATGAAACAACTCCGGGAAGTTGAGCTTGAACTATGTGGCCGGTCCAAGAGAAATCCGGGTATATGCCATGAGGCTGTCCTGTAACATTTGCCGCCTGATTCATCCTCAGTTACAAGCAAATATCCATTAACCGTCAAGCTGAGCACAAATTTCAAGGCGACTTCTTCATATTCTAGAACTTGTAGTCTTGTGGCAAGCAAGATTTTACATATGTACATGATGATTTTTCCCTTTCTACAGAATGTATAAAGCATAGACATCCTTTGCAAAGAGAAGTCGAAAACAGAGCACAATAAAGAACATTGGAAGAGTGAAGTATGGTCCATTGTGCAAACAAGAATCTAAAGAGACATTACTTTTGACCCATTGATCTCCCAAATTGAAGGGGGAATAAAGGTCATAACTTTAGTGATGGAAATATTGAGATTTGTGAGAAACAAGAGTCTTACAGCATCTGTAATCGCAAGAGGATCGGTGCCATACAAACGAACAGCATCTCGCCAAGCCAAGCTTTGAGCATTCGTGTAATACGGCGTCGTATTCACCGTCACATCAACTCCAGACGGTGGTGGAACTGCAATAGCTGAGGAGGATTCATGGGTTTGAAGATCAGAGGTCGAATTAAGGTTTTGATTTAGACATGGAGCGTAATACGCCGGCTGATTCATTTCCGCCGGTGCCGGAGACTGGCTATAATAATCCATTGAAAATTAAAAAAAAAAACTGTAGTTTTGCCTTACCTACAGCAATGAAAAGTTTTCGTCTTTGTGTCTTTATTTTCTCAACCGAACAAAAAGACCAGACGGTCGGACCAGTTTTAGATTGAAAATGTTTTCATTCTCTATCAGAAAGTAAGACTCTAGCAAACAGTATTTGAATCCATATATATATATATGAGAAACAGATGTGGAGGAAAGTTTCAGACAAAGCAAGCTGGTTTCTTCTTTCTTCTTTCTTCTATCTCTATGTCTGTGTCACACTAGCAAACAGTAGAAAATGTCAACTATACATGTTAAAACGAGGAAGACAAAAAAAAGAAGTTGGACACATTCCTTATTGTTCAACTAATCGGAAGATATCTCTGTACATAACCTCAAAACCTTTGGCCAGAACATTGAAGTCAAATCCAGCACATTTGTGTTCTTTCCTTCACATTACTATCTCAAAGTGAATTACCATCTTCTTACCATCAGATCAAATCTTGAGAGACTTCAAAACTTGATTCTTGTGAAAAAATCTTCTTAGCTTCTGGTGAGTCAGACAGTGAATTTGGCCTTTTAAGCGCTATCTGGCCTCCAGTTGATCTGTGAAGTCTTAGGTGACCACCAAGAGCTTGATAACACTCAAAAGTCTTGTTGCATATCTTGCATTTACGGCTGGAGTTACTCTTTGGTTTTTCCTGCAACTTACATCTCAGAAGAGAAGGTAACAATGCTTGACCAACAACTTCTCTGCAACTGCTAGACTTTTCGAAACTTGAGTGAGAAGACAGTTGACCGAAATCTTGTTTCAACTCAACACAATGTTCCTTGACATTAGTATCTCTCAGTTCAATTAACTTCTCCTGAGAGACTTCAAAGCTTGATGGTTGTGAAACCATCTTCTCAGCTTCTGATAAGCCAGACAGTGAATTACCACCTTTAAAATCCTCCTTTTTACGCGCTAACTGGCCACTAATCGATCTGTGGATTCTTTGGTGACCACCTAGCGCTTGATAACTCCCAAAAGTCTTGCCGCATATCCTGCATTTACGGCTGGAGTTACTCTCTGGTTTTTCCTGCAACTTTCTTCTCAGAGGAGAATGTAATGCTTGCCCAACAACATCACTGCAGGTACTAGACTTTTCGTGAGAAAACATTTCACCGACTTCTTCTTTCGACTCAAGAGAATGTTCCTTCACATTAGTATCTTCAAAGCTTGACAGTTGTAAAGCAATCTTCTTAGATTCCAATGAGTCTGACAGTAAATTGTCACCTTCAGAGTCCTCCTTTTTACGAGCTAATTGCCCTTTAATCGATCTGTGAAGTGTGTGGTGGCTACCTAGAGCTTGAGAACAGCCAAAACTCTTGCCACATATTTTGCATTTATAACTGACATTACGCTCTGGTTTTTTCTGCAATTTACTTGTCAGAGGAGAAGGTACTGCATGAGCACCAATATCACTGCAAGTACTAGAGTTTGAGTGAGAAAGCAGTTTCGACTCAACACAATGTAAGGTATTCTCTTGCGT